GGTTCGGGCAGTTTGAAAATAAAACCACAAACCAAACCAATTATATCGGTTTTAAATTTTTATAATCCAAACCAACCCAATTTTATATCGGTTTGGTTTGGTTTTTAATGGATTGGTTCAGTTTAGGTCGGATCAATCGGATTGGATCGGATATGAACACCCCTAGTAGAAACAGGTTGGGTGAACATTTCAAACCGTTTAGAATGTTGAACCACTTAAAAGTGCTCAAACCATCCAAACTGATAAGAATTGATAACTCGTTCAACCGACCAGACCAACCATTGAGACTAAATTCTCTAAAATTTGTCTCCCCTGTCTCCAACACCAAGCCTCACAAAGGATTAGCTAGCTTGTGAATAAAGTTGCAAAGAATATCTTTTAAAGAATGTAAGAAGATTTTAAAGGAAATATAACTTCCATGAGGCTTAAACCCTAACCCTCTTGAATGCTTTATAAGATTCGTGCCACTTGATCTGATTCAAGTTTGTTGTCTTTTAATGCATTAAGATTTATTTATCATAGAAATACATGATTTGAATAAATTTAATGCTCTAAAGACTTGAACTCTAGTTCTTCTTCTTATAATTAAAGATTTTGACCATTGGAGCCACAATTAATTCATTGATTTAAATTGCATTATATTATATTTAATATATATTTTCAAAATTTAATCAACTTGATTTTTTACCGATTAAATCGGTTGAACTGTTAAAACCATAAATCAGAGATCAAAATGGTTCGACCTTCGATTTAATTTTGAAAACATTGCTTTTAAGGTAAAGTTTATATTCTTATATAGAAAAAACATAAAAAAAATTATATTCTCATTTAAAAGCACAAAAATTTACAAACTAATTTAAAAATCAAAAAATTTTATATACTTAAATAAAGAATACAAAATTCATATATCTATCTCTAAATCTTCCCAAACTTCTTGACGTCTCATGTCACCTGTCTTCGAAAGGTATCCCACATCAGATTATTCCTTCTCGGTCTTCTGAGCCCACATGGTACACGTGTCGACACAGGGAAGCAAATGCTTGACGTGTGGACTTCATGATGCATCAAGTTTAAAATAAATCATATCCTTCTGGATGATGTGCGTAATACACCTTAACTGTTTCGTTTCTTTTCAAACATTTAAAATTGTACCGTTCGGACGAAGATGAATTTACAGAAAAACCCTCAAATTTGAACGTTACTACATTATAAACCAAATGACCGTTATCTTGTGTAGACTCACCAGGGAGTCTTTTGCAATTCCATCTCTAAACCGACATTCAGACTGTATATAGTAACGTTGCAGTGTACAAAGCCACGGGAGCAGGCATAACGATAGCAGTAACTGTCCCTCGCCGCTCTGTGCTCTCCGCCGGCCGGGATTGGCTCGTCTGCGCTGTAAGTTTCTCTCTCTTCATTTCCCCCACGAACTCCATCTCTTTCTCACCTCAAAAACCCTAAAAAGAGCCCTAGAGAAAGACTGTGGGTTCTACTTTGTTTTCTTGTTTATGATCTTTACACTTTCGGTTGAACTCATGATTTTCTCTAAGTAAAGGCTCTTCGAGGTATTCTATGAATGCTTCCTTTTCTGAATTTCATGGCTTTTAACGGTATTTTTGAACCTAAAATCTAACTCTTCTTTCGGTGGTTTATGGAATATGGAGGAGAGAATGATCCTCCTATAAGGACAGGTCCGAGGTGCCAAGCCTCGGACTGCTACAGTAATTCCTTTATGATCGAAGTGAAGGATAAACCCAAAGCTTCCCGCTCAAATAGCTGCATGACAGTAACAATGAGCATGCCCGCACCCAATTCCTTACGATGAGCTACAAAGTAGTTATGATAGGCATCTTCCCATCGGAATATCTCTCAATTTCCCGGTCCCGAAATAACCGTTTGGAGATACACATCAGATCCCGAATATCCTGCTTGGCATGCCACGTGGGTTCCTCATTGGATCCTATAAATACCCCCCCGGGCCACGTAAAAAGGTAATTGAAACCAACCCTAAGCTCTTTTTATCTCCGCCCTAAAGGTAGCCCCGATTATTGCTGACTTAAGCATCGGAGTGTCTACCCCGAGTTCCACCTTGGGGCTTTGCAGGTCATCCCGGAGTGCAGGCGCGGGCTGAAAAAGGACTTCTGGCTTGGTGCAATTACATTGGCGCCGTCTGTGGGAATCGAACTGAAAGCTTTCTAGTTGCTCTTTCATCATGATTCACACTCGATCAGTCCGAGCTGGTAATTCATCTCTGCCTCTTGGGCAAGGTCAACCCCCCAACAACCTTCCACCTCAACTCCCACCTCAACTCCCACCTCAACTTACACCTCAGCTTCCACCTCAGGTCCCAACTATATTCCCTCTTGTGGATCATGCAGAAGGAGGAGATGAAAACCAACCTCATGCCTCAGCTCACAACTCAACTTCCACTGCCAACCAAGATGTAGTGACAGCTTAGCTTGCTGCCATGCAGCAACAGTTCGATGTTTTTCAGTTGGTACTGGCTCAGCTTTTAGCCAGAAACAATCCTGGTGACCCCCTCATTAATCTACTGAACCCTGCTTAACAACCCCCAGCTCCACAACAGCATCCTCAACCAATTCAGCATGCTCCCGCTATTAGTGAATCTCAGGGTCAATCCCACATCGCACCTGCTCAACAACCCATCCCTGATGATGTCACTCGACATCTCGATAGCTTGGAAAAGCTAGTAGCTGAACACCGAGGCGCTCCACCCCCACACCATACTGCTGACTCCATACCTCACCCTCTGAATACCAATATTACACTGGAACCCTATCCTGCTAGCTTCAAAATACCACAATTGGAGACTTATGATGGGACAAAGGATCCTGATGATCATTTGCATGCTTTCTACTCTTGCATGCAAGCTTAGAACACCTCTGACGCGTTAATGTGCAAAATCTTCCCCTCTACTCTCCGAAGTAATGCCCGAACTTGGTATTACAATTTACCTCCAAGGTCTATTAGCTCTTATACAGAAATGGCATTTGCCTTTGCCACTAAGTTTTCCAGTAGAAGGTTGATTAGGAAAACTACTTCTGAGCTGATGCGAGTTAAACAGAGGAATGGAGAATCTCTGAAGAACTATATGAGCAGGTTTAATGATGCAGTTTTAGAGGTTAGTTCTTTTAATCAAGCTGTGGGAATTGCAGCTGTGATCTTCGGTCTCAAGCATGACAGGTTCAGAGACAGTTTGATCAAACATGCTGCCACCACCTTTAGCGAGGTGAACGATAGGTCTCTGAAATTTATAACTGCTGAGAAGTATGCCCTGGCGCAAAACCCACCTCCCACTAAGAACCAGCACCCAGATTGGAGAGATGACAATTCGAGCAGGAAAAGGATGAGGATGGTGCAGAACCGAGGTCCGATGTTGACCTCTCCACCGAGATTCGGAAAGCCGAACTCAACACCCCCGCAACAATCTGCAGGTAAACCTCCAGTTAATTGGACTCCCTTTAATCTGCCGAGGTCACAAATTTTTATGCAGATCAAGAATAAGATGGATTTAAGGCGTCCTGGCCTAATGAAAATTGCTGCTGCTAGTCGAGACCACACCAGATATTGTGATTTTCATCAAGATCACGGCCATACTACAGAGCAGTGCAACAGCTTAAAGTCCGAACTGGAAAATTTAGCTCAGAAGGGAATGCTAAATGAGTATGTTCAGAGAACTGAACAGCCGAGGTTTATCAGAGAACAGAGGCCGCAGCCCCCAGGAGTCCGCAACCCCCCAAATAGGCAAGGTGTGGGATATCAGCAAGCCCCACCTCTACTCCCACCCCCAGCCAGAATCATACACATGATTACGGGAGGCCTTGAAGCAGGTGGATTGAGCTCTAAGCAGCGAAAGCTGTATGTCAGAGAGATTAAACATCAAAACCGAGCTCAGAAGCGAAAGATCGACAATGCTGAGTGGAAAAATCAACCCATTACTTTCACGTCTGTTGATCTCGATGCAGTTGTTACACCCCACAATGATCCTTTGGTCACTTCTGTCATGATTAATAACTGTGAAGTACAGCGTGTCCTTGTTGACACCCGGAGTGCCCCAGACATCATGTACTTCCACTGTTTCGAGAGTCTGGGACTGGATCCAGCATTGTTGCAGAAATATGATGGTCCTATCTATGGCTTCAACAACTAGCCTGTTCCGGTAGAAGGAATTCTTACCCTCCATGTGGCTTTCGGGAGTGGCAGAACCTATGTGACTCGTTCAGTCCGGGTCCTCGTAGTCAAAATGGCGTCCTTCTTCAACATTGTTATTGGCCGACTCACGCTGACTGAAATCCGAGCTGTGGTTTCCCAGTCTCACCTCTGCATGAAGTTCCCGACTCCTACGGGAATAGCAACACTACGAGGAAACCAAGAGGTGGCCAAACATTGTTATATCACCTCCGTAACACAACCTATGAAGGGCAAAGATCCGACACCTGAGGCCATTCCCCAACCAATTTCTGATAATCAGCAAGTTATGGGCATTGAGATCGTCGATAATCATCCGGAAGATAAAACCAGAGCTGCTCAGGTCGAAGATGTTGAAGAGGTGCCCATTGATAACAGAGATCCGAGCCGAAAGACGCAGATTGGAACTAGATTGAACCCAGAGGAACGAGCAGAGTTAATAGCCTTTCTCCGAGCTAATAATGATGTATTCGCATGGACTTCGGCCGATATGCCAGGAATTTCGAAATCAGTATTCCAACACAAGCTTAGCACCAATCCATTGAAGAAACCAGTGGTCCAGAAGCGGCGTCTCTTCGGGGGGGAGAGGCTTCAGATTATTAAAGAAGAGGTAGAGAAACTTCTACAAGCTGGTTTCGTCAGGAAAGTTGATTACTGCGAGTGGGTGGCTAACCCAATCCTGGGAAGAAGGCAAACGGCAAATGGCGAATGTGCATTGATTACACAAATCTTAACCAAGCCTGCCCCAAGGATTGCTATCCGATGCCGAGCATTGACAAGTTAGTTGAAGTGACTTCAGGCAATGAGAGGTTAAGCCTCTTGGATGCATATTCTGGGTATCACCAGGTGTCGATGGCTCCCGAAGACGAAGAGAAAACCTCGTTCTATGCTGGCGATGAAATCTATTGCTATGTCATGATGCCATTTGGCTTAAAGAACGCTGGTGCTACTTATCAGAAAATGGTGACCATCGTCTTCCGAGCTTAGATCGGTAAGAATCTAGAGGTGTATGTCGATGACATCGTAGTAAAGAGCCGGAAAGCAGAAGACCATCTAGCTGATCTCGACGAAACCTTCAACAACCTCAGAAAGAACAGGATGCGGTTGAACCTAGCCAAATGCATCTTCGGAGTGGAGTCCGGAAAGTTTCTAGGTTTCATGGTGTCTCGAAGAGGGATTGAGGTCAATCCAGAGAAGATCAGAGCCATTGCTGATATGGAACTGCCAAAATCAGTAAAAGATATACAGAGATTGCCTGGAAGAGTGGCAGCTCTTCATCGATTCATATTGAAGTCAGCAGATAAGTGCCTGCCATTCTTCAAGATTATGAGGTCGGCCGCCCAGAAGGATGAATCAGGAAAACAGAAGAAATTTGAATGGAGTCAGGAGTGCCAAACTGCATTCGACGAGCTGAAGTCTTATCTTAGCTCGCCACCTCTACTGACTAAGGCCATCGATGGGGAAATTCTTTATTTGTATCTGGGAATTTCAAATGAAGCCATTAGTTCGGTTCTGGTAAAAGAAGAAACCAAGCAGCAGAAACCAATCTACTATATCAGCAGTGTACTGCACGGGGCAGAGCTGAGGTATCCCATAGTTGAGAAAGCAATATTAGCAGTTGTCACTTCGGCCAGAAAGTTGAGGCCATATTTCCAGTCACACCCAATTATCGTTCTAACAAATCAACCTCTCAGGCAGATTTTGCAGAAACCAGAGTGCTCTGGAAGATTAATCAAGTGGGCAGTAGAACTGGGGGAGTTTGAGATAACGTTTCAGCAGAGATCGGCCATCCAAGCTCAAGCATTACCAAATTTTATTGTCGAATGTACTCCATGTCCTTCAACCTCTAATTCAAAGCCCAATGACTGGACCTTATATGTTGACGGAGCATCTAGTAGCAAGGGTTCAGGGGCTGGCGCTCTCTTGATTGGTCCAGACACCGAAGCGAACATGCCCTAAAATTCAACTTTGATGCGACAAATAACATGGCTAAGTATGAAGCTTTGATACTTGGTCTACAACTAGCATAAGAGTTGAAAATTAGTGCAATTCAAGTATACAGTGACTCCCAGTTGGTGGTAAACCAAATCAACTCAATCTGCGAAGTTGTTGATCCTATGATGGTGAAGTATGTAGCCTTGGTGGCTGAGCTGAAGTGCAAATTCCAGAAATTCTGTCTGAGCAAAATCCCCCGAACCGAGAATGAACAGGCAGATTCACTCTCCAAGTTTGCCTCTGATAGCTCTTTAAGTTCCAGATCTATTTTTGTCGAGGTCCTAGATGAACCAAGCTTCATGAAGCCTTGGGTGATGGAGATTAGCACAAACCCTGATGCACCGAGCTGGACTGATTCAATCATCTCCTTTTTGCGAGATGGGATAGCACCTGAGGATAGGCAGGAGGCAATGAAGTTGAGAAAGAAAGCATCTCGGTATACACTCGTTGATGGGGTCTTATATAAGAGATCTTTCTCACTTCTTCTTTTGCGATGTTTGAATCCCTATAAAGCTGAATATGCACTTCAAGAGGTGCACGAAGGTGTCTGTGGAAGTCATATCGGTGCTAGGACTCTAGCTCACAAAGTCTTAAGGCAAGGATATTACTGGACAAACATGCATAAGGATGCCACCTACTTTGTTCAGAAATGCCCGAAATGTCAATTCTTTGCACATCTGACTCACCAACCAGTAGAGGAGCTCACGAACTTGGTAGCACCATGGCCATTTGCTAAGTGGGACTGGATCTTTTAGGCCCGTTCGTGAAAGGGGTCGGTGGTGTAACCCATTTGGTTGTTAGTGTGGATTATTTTACAAAGTGGGTTGAAGCTCGGCCTTTATCTAGTCTTACTTCCAAGAAGGTCAAAGATTTTGTTTTCAGCTCGATTATCTGCAGCTATGGGATCCCGAATCAGATTGTGGTCGATAATGGAACTCAATTCAATTGCTCCTCATTTCGAGATTTCTGTTCCAGTTATGGGATCAAGTTACAATTCACCTCCGTTTATCATCCGGAGTCCAATGGTATGGTTGAATCTGTTAACAAATGCATTTTGGAAGGTATAAGGCCGAGATTGGAATAGCATAAGGCCAAGTGGGCAGACGAGCTCAACAACGTCCTTTGGACATACAGAACCACGAGCCGAACTACCACAGGTACCACTTCAAAACCAAGTCTATTTGATTAATTTCTATATTATTTTACTTCTTCTGTTACGCTTTACCTTAGAGCAAATATGCATAATGCATAAAGCGCATTCTAAACCTATACCTAACTGAAATAGGTGAAACACCCTACCACTTGGCCTTTGACACCGAAGCAGTCATTCCCGTTGAAATAGGAGTCCCAAGCTTCCGGGTCACCCATTTCGATGAAGGACGAAATGGACAGCTGCTTCGAGAAAACCTTGATCTGCTTGCCAAAGTTAGAGAAGAAGCTCGGCTTCGAACTCTTGTGTATAAGCAGAAACTAGCCAACTTCTACAATAAGCGGGTCCGCCCTCGAACATTCAAAGTAGGAGACCTTGTTCTCAGAAAAGCTGGCCTAATAGGGTTTGAAACTCGTTTTGGCAAAATCGCCCCAAATTGGGAAGGCCCTTATACTGTGGCCGAGGTGCCACATCCTAGTGCCTATGTCCTCCAAGACCATGAAGGAAAGAGAGTTCCTAGAGTCTGGAATGTCAATAACTTGAAGAAATTTTACCCCTAATAAAATTCTTTCAAATGATCTATGTCTTACTATTCTTTACGCTTCTCACTTCGTGTTTGTTGAGATTCATTTTACTTCTTATTCTGTATACCCGAGGTCAATTAGTTCTTTCATTCCTTGAAACCTCACCTCTAATTAATAAATGTCACTTCACATATGAAGTGCTTTATTTCTTTTTAATTCATTTGCAAACAATGTCCTTGTTCTCAATTTATCTGAAGTAATGTACTTCTTTGTAATTTGTCTGAAGTGATTTACTTCCCTTTTTGTTTATTTCTGAAGTGGTTAGTCTTCTTTCAAATCAAGTCTCAAGTACTCTCAGTTCTTCTATTAAATAACAAAAATATAAACCAAACATAAACAAACATATAATTTCATTTAAAATAACAGTGTTACAAACTGTCTAAATGTTTTTACAAAAATTTAAAAAATAAAATTATTTCTCCGCTGGGAGAGGTGGCTCCACTGGCTCCTGCTCAGCTGGAGGAGTTGGCTGTGTTGGCTGCTGCTCGTCTGGCAGAGGAGGCTGCTCATCGAATCGTCAGAGGGAACTGGATGAATTTCCACTTCTGGAACTGGTTGGCACTCATCCACTTCAGCTCCTTCCGCTCCTGCCTCCATCTCGTCTTCCTCCACCTCTGCCCCTTTTTCCTCCACTGCAACGAACTCGAAGTCGCACTGTGGAGGGAAAACAGCACTTCCATTCGCATCATGCTCCCACCTCAGTTTGATTTGAGGACGGAAGTCTGCTGACATGCTTTCACCGTCTTCCTCCACTCTTTCTTCTTGCTCTCCGAAGGTGATCTTTGTAATATCCACTTCGGGATATTCTGCCTTCACCTTCTTCCTGCAGTCCGTGAATGCGATGATGGCAGTGGGCAGCCGATATAAGTTGACGAGGTTGTCAAACGAGCTGGAGCTGATGAAGTTGCTGATGTGCTCCTTCATTCCATTATGCACCAAGGTCTGCACATTAGCCTTCAGCTCCAAGAAAGCCTCCTTTGTCAGCTTTAGTTCTTGCACCTGAGCCTCACGCTCACTTTCGGAGATCCTTCGTTTGCTCTCCTAAAAGACGAGCTTGGTGCTCAAGGAAGCCCTCTCCTGCTCCAACTACTTCACAGTTGGAACCACCTCGTTCAACGACTCTTGCAGTTCTTTGTTTCTCTTCTCCAACTCCTCCTTCTCCTTCTGCAACTGATCCCGCTGCCTCTGCAAGAGTGAGCGATCCTTCAGGCTCTCCCTGAATTCCTGGGCTAGACCATTCACCCAGCTCGCGCTCTGCAGATCAAAACCGAGGTTAAGAAAGAATGAAGAGAAGGCGAAACAGGTTCACTACACAACATCAATACTTTAACATACCTCTACTTTAACATACCTCTAGAACATGCTTCACCACGGACGCTCCACCATACCTCAGAGCCTCCTCTCGCGCGTTGCATTGGTCCACTTCGGGGAAGGTGTTGTTGATGAACCACCTAGCCCCCGTTATGTTCTTCGCCTCGAACAGGCTGCTTTGAGGTCCCAGTGGGGGAACAGGGCCCTTTCCCTTACCAGGAGCTCGTACCCCAGCAGGAGTTGACATTTGCTAGTCCGAGTCAATGAGGAAAAAGAGGATGATAAACTGGAACGGTTGTATCTAGACGATGGGAAAGGTGGGAAGAGGAAAACAGTAATCAATTTCAGGTTTTTAACCTTTAAACCCTACAATTTTTAACTTTGGGTATCTTGTTCATGTTCTGTTTGGTTGCTATAATATGATATAGGAATTCTTTGTGTTATATAATCACCTGATTTTGTTTGTATAATCAACAGAGACTGTCCTCTTTCAATCCTTTCATTTTTCTTCAATTGGTGTTTCACAAGAAAACCGGAGGCAAAGGCAAGAACAAATGGAGGCTGTTGTGGAGCTCCTCCTATGGGTTCGAATCCTCCCCTTCCAAGGGTCACAAAATGGGCCAGTGGGCTGGATCAGAAGTGTCCCATTCCTCTTTGAGGTGGATGCTGATTTTGCTGCAGCTATGGCTACCTTGGTCTGGGCTCCCCCAAAAGATTTCTTGGTGGTTAGGCAAGAATGGGCTGCGATCCATGGATTGCTGGTAAGTGGGTTTCTCTTCTTTTGATGTCGATTTCTCTTTGGTGTTTAGCTAAAGGTGAATTCAATTGCAAGTCATCTTCTATACTTACCCGAACCTTTCGTCCTTTTCTTTATTAATTTATAATTTGGTTGTGAAGCCCTTTTGATAAAAGGAATAGAGATACTAGTCTCAGAATCATGTGAAAATTACAAGCGTTTTCACTTCAGGGTTTTCTCTGGTTTTCTTTCTTGGTTCATTACTTGGTTTTGTTGCGTTGGAATCTATATATACAATACTCTGATAATATTGGAATTCCATGTTTTGGAATGTTAATAGATTACCTGTTTTTGTTATTCTTTCTACTTTCAACCAGATGGTTTCATTGCTTAGGTTTTCTTGTGTTGGAACATTGATTTTATTTGTTTCTTTCTCTTTTTGGTCAGATGGGTTCGTTACTTAGGTAGTTAGGTTGTGTCCTGACTCCAAATGATAGAAATGCCAATTTAGATGTCCAAAGCTTTCTTACCTTGCCAATTGGTGTGATTGATTAGGTTTGCCTTCTACCTTATGTTCTTTTTATGCATAAACTATTTTCCTTTTATTTCTATGTAATTTATATCTCAGCTATTTTTTCTTTTAGTTGAATCATTTGCTGCTAATCTTGTGGAGTTTTAGTGCCTAGTTGCCTGTGTCCTCGTGGTAAGAATTGGAAATGCCAGTTTACATATTCAAATCTTTCTGCCCTTGCCAAAAGGTTTTCCTTTAACCTTATATTCTTTTAATGGTGTAGTAAATTTTCCTCTTCTTTTTTATGTAATTCATCTACTAGTTATTTTTTCTTTTTGATAAATAATTTTTTGAATCTTGAGCTATTTTCAGTGTCTAGGTTTTGAAAATACTGCTTGTCCATGTGGAGTTTGCCTTCTACCTTATGTGCTCTTTATGCATAAACTATTTTCCTTTCATTTCTATGTAATTCATATCTCAGCTATTTTTTTCTTTTAGTTGAATCATTTGCTGCTAATCTTGTGGAGTTTTAGTGCTTGGTTGCTTGTGTCCTCATGGTAAGTGTTGGAAATGCCAATTTACATATTCAAACAAATACCTCTGCCCTTGCCATAAGGTTTGCCTTTAGCTTTATGTTCTTTTAATGGCGAAGTGAATTTTCCTCTTTTCTTTTTATGTAATTCATCTACTAGTTATTTTTTCTTTATGATGAATAATTTTCTGAGTCTTGAGCTATTTTCTGTGTCTAGGTTTTGATAATATTGCTTGTCTGTGTCCTCTTAGATATTCAAAACTCTGTCCTTTCCCAAGCTCTCTGTAATTTTCTGTTCCCAGCTATTTTGCTTGTATTTATATAATTTTCTAAAACTTGCCAGAACTCAATTCAACTCCTGAATATAAAAAAAATCTCATCTCTTTTATTTTGATTTTTGATTTTGTAATTTGGACCTCCCATTGATTTTTGGTTTCCAGAAGGAAGTGAGAAGACTCAAGTTTGCAATTTTCCTTGCATGCTATTGGAATGATGGTTTGGTATCCAATTATCTTTACTTAAGCATTTGTGCTGCATCTAATTCAGTACTTAAAAGTGATCTAACATGTTTTGGGAATCTGGATATTCCTCTAGTGTCATAATTTAGAAATTTGGTTTTTTTTTAAAAAAATTTTTTTTAATTTTTTTAATTTTTTTATTTTTCATTTTTGTTAACATCTGTCAAAATTTGAGTTTTGGGGGATATGCAAAGGGAGTAAATGGAACCATGGATGGTGATTGTTAAAATTGATGGTTTTTAATTTAGAGGTCTATTGGAGTATTTACTTCCATATGCTATTTTCTATCTGGATGGATAATTGAATTATGCTTTTTTGGAAATGATGATTTGTGATTTTAATAGAGATGAGAAATTAGTGAAATCTTGAATGAATATTTTAGTAAGGCAAATGAATGATGATCAACTAGGTAAGCTATTTATGATTGAGCCCAATATTCGACGCCATTAAAGTTCTGATATCTTTAACAGAATTTTAACAACCAGATTTAAGGAAAACATTTGAGTTATTCATTGTTATTGTTAAGTAACTAATTCAGAATGCTTTTCTTCTCCATTCATGTATTGAGACCTGTAAACTGTCATAGCACAAGGGTAAGTCTTTCTCTTCTTTAAAAATAAGTTACTATAGTTGTATTTCTAATTTAATTTTATTTAATGTTTTGGTTCCTTTAACAATAGATGTAATGAAGTATTGCATAATGAATGCCAGCAACCTACTTAGATTTAACATTCTTTGAGCCATTGCACCAACTCCATTGCAGCGCCGCATTCTTGCTGCACACCCCCACCAGCTTTGTCCTGTCTCTCCTCTCCACTTTGAAAACCCTGTTTGATTTCAATTCTGATGAATCCAATACCATAAACACCTATGGAAACTGTGGGATGTGAAAAAGTTGGAAGCATTCACAAAATCCTCTATTTGGTGATAGTTAGGAATAATAAAAGGAGAAGATAATTTAATTCATTTTGTTTGCCTATCTACTTTCATTCTAGATTCCAGAAATGTTTCTTTTTAAAATTTTGCTTGCTTTTGCATCTTTTTATCTTATCTGTATTTTGTGTCTTCATATTGTAATTCACAACATGGAAGTGTGGAAATATCCTTCAAGTGTTGTGTAGACATGAAGCTAAGATCTCCTTAAACTGTTTGTGATAATTGTTTTTACATATTTACAATGAGCAAATTGGAGATTTACTTGATCCTAAGTCATAGGAACCTTGAGGTAAACCTTTTATGCTTTGCTTTTTATCAACTGTTGCAGTAAGTTTTCCTTAAATTGTTTTCATAGAGGAAAAATGAGCTGCCTTGGGTAACATGTCCATAGGTGAGTGCAAGTTGTTGGTTGTTGACATTTCAGTGGAGTTAAGAGTCTTCCTTTCTCTTCCTGTGAGTGGAAGAATGGAAACCACTATTTCTCTTCCTTGCCCAAGTTAGACTATACTCTCTCTATGGTGTATGTCCTTTTTAGGGCAATGTTCTTGGAAGTGAATTTTATGATAAGTTGGCTTAAATTTGTCTACTAAGATTTCAATATTCTATTTTTAATTTGTGTTTCTTTTCTTTTTTATACTATTACTCTACAGCAAGGCATGCCAGCAATAAATCATCGGTATGTAAATCAAGATATAAACCTATTTCTTTGGTGTACTTAGATTGAACCTTTTCTTTGCATTTTTTCTTCTTTTTTTAGCCTTACCATGAAGATTATTGCGGGTTATAACAAATTTACATAATTTCTAAATGGGGTTGATATTGATATTTAAGTGCCTTGAAATGCTATTATAATCAATGATCTACTACACTGAAACAGTATGTTCAATCTTCATTAGATTATAGGTTGTCTATTGTCTTGTTATTGATATTGTGATATCTGCCATTTTTTGAAAATGATCAATGGACCATATAGATGGTAACAGCAAAGAATGAGTGATAATCAAGCAGCTTTCCTAATCCATGAGGAAGCTTCTAGGTTGAGTTGAGCTGTTAAGCTTTGGCCTTAAACCATTAAACTACAAGGCTAGGTTTAGATTAAAAATTTATTATATGCTCCTGTTGGTTTTTTGGGCCAAATATATGCTTATGTTGATATTGTAATTTCCATGGATGGTAATGCCTCCTTTCTTTGGTATTGAAGCTTGAATATTTAGTTGGTAAAAAATTCCATCTGTTCTTTCTTTTCATGTTAAGTTTTTGTTCCACTTGAATTTTTATTTAGCTGTTAAGTATATCATATTGTTTAGCTTCTACATTGAAATTAAGCATTGTTTCTTATCAACATGGAAAAAGATGTCGTAACTTTTTTGCATTCATGCATAAATAAATATGCTTCTTTTAGTATTAATAAATATGGAATAGAAACTTGATGACAATTTAAGGTCAGCTTAATGCTCTAGTTTCATTATCATGGTAATACTATCTTTTTTGGTTTTCTTTCCTCGCCTTTGGGGTCTCCTTTCCTTTGCAGGTACGTATCTTCCTACCAGACCACTTTTCTAATTTCCCCCAGATTAATTAATAGATATATTCTATTTCTAAATAAATCTACTACTTGTTTTCAATTTCTTCCAGCAATAAAGTCTAAGGATTCTAGGTTTTGCACTTTTCTTTAACCGTGATCTTTCAGTTCATCCTTCATATCAATTTCTTCCAACAAATTTTGATTCCTCATCTGTATTCTTTGTATTCTTCAAGCTATCTATTGCTCATTTTGTCAATCCAAGAATTAAATGTCTATTTATCAAAGGTTTGGTAGCTTAAGGAACTTTTAGGGTACTGCAGATCTTAGAGTCATTTTGTAACATGGGATTGTTGATTTAAACTTATTTCCTTAGTGTACACTTATATTAAAACCTTTTGTTTGCATTTTTTCTTCCTTTCTTACCCTTGCCATATAGATTATAGCTCCTTAAAACAAATTTGTTTAACTTCTCCATTTCCTCATCTGGATCCTTATCTTCATTTATCAACTTTATGTGCTATGGAGAAGTAGGCATTCAGGAAAGAAGTAAAGTGAAGGGCTAAAGCTTATGAAAATTAAGGCAAAACATAAATTTAAGAGTTATTATTTTTTAAAATTTTATTAAGATGTCTAATTCTAAGCTTTTCAACTTTTTTTGGTAAACTGTGAATTTATTACCAAAATCTACACAAAGCAGCTCTTTTGGTTAAGGCTGCTACTAATGGCAGTACAAAGAATGAAATAACTCCTTAACTACTGTATGTTGAAACCTTCGCTGTACATAAAATTTCTAATCCCCATTCAGCTGCAATTCTCCTTGACATGGGAGAAGACCCTTCCTTTACTCTGTCTTGGACATCCATTTGAATCATATCAATTATTGCAAAGGAGATCTGTATAGCTGTCTATGTATCCTGCTGTTTCTTTCAATCCAGATATGATATATTGATGCGCACACCAAGCTAATTTAAGAAGAGAGTTGTACAATGCCTTATGTTTAACTCTCTTACATAACCAATCCAAAGCATCTTGCCAAATGTAGTTTAATGGGATTTCCAGCATAGAAGAAATCTTTTCCCAAATAAGAGTAGTGTAGGGACAGGAAAAGAAGAGATGGTTCCTAGTTTCACTTGCATTCCCACAGCACACAAGTGTCATCAATGGAAGAAGACCAATTCTTCTGTTTGGACCTGGTAGAGAGTTTGAGTACCAAATGAGTTTGAACCAGGGTACCTTAGATCTTTTTTCTCTAAGGAAGTTCCAAGTAGCACTTGTTCGAAAAGAACCTGATGGAGAAGCCAACCAAACAACCTGATCCTCCATAGCCTGATTAGTATATAACGTTTCCACACAAAGCAATTTGAATCTGCAGCAGTTCAGGGGACCCAGCAGGAGGCCATTTCCAATAATCCCCTTGGATTACATGAGACAATTTTGCTTAAGAGGAAATGGCTGCATCCCATATAATTTTCTTCCCATATACTTCAATAAGAGGTCCCTTGGGATGCCAAGAATCATGCTAGAGAAAAATAGTGTCACCTTTACCAACTATGATTCACCAAAGGTCTAGCATATGTTCTAAGTTTTTGGATTTTTCTCCAGCTCCAAGTAGTGTTTGCAAGAATTCCAACTAACCAATAATTCTTTTTTTAAGCAAATATGTTTGCACCCATGCCACCCAAATAGAGCCTACCTTGGTGAAGCAGCTCAATAAATTGCAAAATGCAAGCCACATTCCAATTATGCAAAGGCTTCAAGCCTAATCTTCCTTCCATCTTTGGTTGAAATGCTGCTGCCCAACTTACCTTGGCTCCTCTTGCATTAGCTGCTCTACCTTTCCAGAGAAAAGCATTGCAAATTCCCTCCACTGATTTAATTACTCTTTTTGGTAGAATGAAAATAGAACACCAAAAATTTGTTATGCTCTAAAGAACAGATCCTGCAAATGAAAGATATTCGGAAGTCCATGAACTGATTTTATCAGTTATTTTTGTGATGGGAGGCTTTAAAACAGCATTTGTTAGTCTTCCAATTATAAGCCGTACCCCAAGGTACCTAACAAGAAGGGTTCCCACTTTGAAGCCATACAAATCAGCTAGCTCCCTTATTACATTAGGTTGCATTCCACAGCAAAAATTTTCTGACTGATGGTAGTTCGTTCACCTTTAAACCTGTGGCCAAATAAAATTGTCTCAATATCAAATCAACAGCAATAGCTCTTGTTGAACTGTCGGTGAATACTAGTAAATCATCCGCAAAGCATGGATGAGTCAGTCCTACATTATTGTATTTTGGATGGAAAGGTAGCAATCCTTCCTTGGCTGCTTTGTTGAGCATCCTTGATAAAAGGTATGGTGATAAAGGATCACCCTGCCAACCCTTTCTTACCAAGAAAATAGCCTTCTAAATTCCCATTTAGAGCAACTGAGAACGTAAGGGAGGTGATACAAGCCTTAATCCAATTGATAAAAGTGGGAGGAAAAGATAAAGCTTCTAATGCTGTGAAAATAAATTCCAACTCACAGAGTCAAAAACCTTCATTAAATCAATCTTTAATGCACACCTAGGCTTCATGTTAGGCTTGTGATAAAATTTTTTACCAACTCTTGTGCGAGCAGTATATTCTCCACCATTAGCCTTCAATAAAAGCACATTGGTTGGAGCTATAATGAATAGAGGTAGACACCTTTTCAATCTATTAGCAATAATCTTCGTGATGCATTTGTAAATCAGATTGCAGCAGGATATAGGCCTAGAGTCAGTCATCTTGGATGGGCAGGACCTTAGGCACTAAAGAAATAATCATAGAATTCACCTCTTTAAGGAGTGTCCCTGTTGAGAAGAATTCTTGTACTGCTTTTGTAACCAAGTCTCCAACAATGCTCCAAGCACTTTTATAGAACTCAACAGTATACCCATATGATCTAGGGCTCTTGTTATTTGGGCTGCTGAAAAGAACTAATCTGCATTCTTTCGCTGTAACCGACTAAATTAGTGCTTCTTGAGTTGCTTCAGATAGTTGGAAGTCAAAGAGAGCTTTCAACTTATCAAAATCCCCTCCAGTGCAATAAGGATCCTCACTCCCTAAAAGAGCTTGGTAAAAACCAATAGCTTCATTTGCAATATCCTCATGTTCAATGGGTATTTTATCATCTTCAGTATGCAATTCTTTTATCAGGCTCTTACTTTGTCGAACTTTCATTACTTTATGAAAGTAAGTAGTATTTTGGTCTCCTTCCTAGATAGCCAGTGCACTCTAGATTTTTGTTTTAGAAAGGCTTCTTCAACAAGTGATAGCTTTGCCACCCTCCTAGCCTGTTCCTGTTCTACCAAAACCAAATCTTCATGAGGATTAGCTAACAAATCAATTTGGATAGCATGTAATTTTGAAGTCTCTTGTTGAATCCTTCCCTGCAGATCACTGTAACAATCCTTATTAAGCTGTTGTAGAGGGGCCTTAAGAGCCTTTAACTTTTTACAAAGCTGAAACATGTAATATCTTGAAACTGTGACAGACGACCAAACTTCCTGGACAATGTTTAGAAACTTTTCATTCTTTGTCCAAAAATTGGAAATTTTGAAAGGTTTTCTGGTATTTTGGGTTGCCACTTCCATTGTAGTTACCGACCCAGCACAATGGTCTGAGATGTCAGGAGGAAGAAACTCTGCTCTAGTTCTTGGAAAGGTGCTAAACCAAGTGCTGTTGACTAATAGCCTGTCAAGCTTTTTAACAGAGAGTCCTTCTATTCTCTTGTTCGACCATGTAAATTTAGGCCCAAAAGCAGGAAGATCAGAAAGTTCAGCTTCACTCAACCTGTCATTAAACAACTCAGAATCCTTGGAGAAGTGCATGTTTTGGATCCAATCAGACCTCTCTTGCAGATATCTAACTTCATTAAAGTCAGCTCCTAGAATCCAAGGCACTTCAGGCAGCACCCTGCTTAGAGCAACTAATTCATCCCATAATCGTCTCCTGATTAGCATACACAAAAACTAGCAAACATGTACCTCTTAGTAATATTGTCAACCACATGACAGTGTATAGCTTGATGATTAGAACTACATGGGACTTCCAGAAAAGCCAAATTCTTCCTAGAGGAGCAGAATCATAGTTGCAAAATCTACTACACTCAGGCTAAAGATATCCAGCAATCTTATCACAATTGTGCTTCTGAACATGAGTTTGCAATAAGACAAACTATGTCTGCATCATACTTCCTCAATGTTTGTCTAAGTGACTTATACTTTGTAGACTTATTTATCCCTCTTACATTCCAAAATATGAGTTTCACTTATGATATGGAAGAAGGGATACCTCACTGGAGGGATTTGAGATTTTCTTGCAATTTCTCTGCCAAGGGGCCAGGGCTTTTGTAGCAGCTGCTACACTCGAAGAAGCCTACTGAGGCTTCTTAAGGCATTTAGGAGACACTGAAGAAACCTAAAAAGGAGGACAGGTCTGCTTGTCATTAATAAGGCCAAAGCTTCTAGAGAATTTTGCTTCTCAATAGGTCCTTGCTCCTCCATAAGAGATACAGTAGTCTCTCCCTGGGCTGTGAGTAGAGGTTCATTCTGTGAAAATGGTTTGACAGGTTGGTTTCCTTTCTGTACTGGTAGTAATTCATGACAAGTATGGAGTGCAGACTCCACATTTGGAACATCATTAACCTGCTTGCAAGACACATCTGGTTGTTTCCTTTTGTTCATCTCAGCAACTTTTACCCACTCTTTCTTATTAGGCTGTGATTTGTCTTTCCTTGACTTGCAATTGTGGGAGGTATGTCCCCGTTTATTACAAGTATTGCAAGTAGTAGGCAACCAAGGATACTCAACTCGCACATCCACAGAGGGACACAACCTTCAATGTCAACTGGGATTTTTTTCAGAAGATCTTGAGCCACTACAACTTCAATCTCAACATAGAGCTTGGCATAGTTCACACGAATTCACTCCTCTGTTGCTTTATCCAGAGCAAGAGGGACCCCAATCGCGCTAGCAATATAGGCCAGATCCTCGACAGAAAAAACATCCATAGGAACACTCCACAATTTCACCCAAATAGGAACACTCTTAGGTTCTTGCTTAACTTCTTTGTAATCTGGTTCCCACTTACGCATAACTAGTTTCTTGTGTACAACATGCTAGGGGCCAGAATTTAGAACCCAGCCTCGAGTTCCAGAATCAGGGTTCTTGAATAAGAAAGATTTGGCACCCAGACTAGTAACGGAGACCGAACATTGCCTTCCCTAGACATGATTAGCCATGCTCAAGATATGCCCATAGTTGAGAACAACATCGTCTATAAAAGTACCTATCAAACAGTCCTCTCATAGCTTTATCCCCTCCTCTCGGACAGCATGAGGCAACTTTACCTTCAATTTTCCATTTTCAAGAACCGGGGAATGCTAGGGATTTTGAAGAATTCTTTGCAACAGAGGCCCACGAACCAGAAACAGGGCCCATCACAAGGGTGATTTGTGAAGTCAAAGGACCAGGACCTGCAGCTGTGACCGAAGGAACCAATTGAGGGTAATTCACCTGGGCCAAAGAAGAAGCACCAGTAACAGCCAAGATTTCAGCTTGGAACTTTTCGTGAGTCGTGGAAGATGAGGGTACAACACTCAGTGAAGAGCATGGAATCAAAAAAGATGAGGAATTCGGCGAAATCACCATGGAAAATCATGTAGAAACTTGGGAGTAACAGATTTCTCTCATTAGAAACGCAGTTTCTCTCACTAGGCAGCTACCCAGAAGAGAGTCCCTGTGCATGTTTGTGATTAAGCTTTTGAACTTAATCAGTTGCTTTTTTTTTTCTTCATGTTGGCTCTGTATGAATAATGCATTTGCACAGCAGCTGCAATGGACATCTAATCAAACAATTATGAGATATCCTAGGATAGATTTCAAACTTCTAACCTCTTTTGATGTGTGATATCCTGAGGTGGTTTTTCTTTTGACTTTGCTCATACCATGCAAAATAAACTTGCATGTTAAAACATAATGTCAGATTTAAATCAGACCTTTGTTTTATCAACTGATTCGTAAATCTGACTTTTGTTTTGTGAAACTGATTGCTAGTGAGAGACTAAGGGAAAGAGGCAATAATCAAGGTAGAAAGCTAAGCAATCAGGATGATGCGGGTAAGTGTGTCCATTTTCAATTTCAAGAGATTACTAATCTGGTAAACTTTTGTTTTATTATCAACCATGCAAGACATATGATATAAGAAAAGGATACCAAAATTTTAAGTCTCCTTCTAAGGAAATCTCTTTTTAGCTAAGTCAAAGGTTTCTTCAAAACTTGTAATGTGATATTTTTTACTCTGCCTTCTTAGTAGTGAAATCATGAAGTTATTTTGAATACGGGGATAATCTTAATTACATAATCTAAATAAAAATAAATAATTTTTTGAACCATTCTAACTTGATGTTAGGTAACTCCTCGTGAAATTTTAAGCAATTTCTGGATTGACGTTTCTTGGCTTCATCTAATTTTCTAATGAACAGAGGAGGATGGAACATATGTATGAAGCTGTACAGACAATGATTTTGCAATTACATGTGTTGCATTCGAAGACAACTCCTCTAAATATTACATTAATGTTTGATCTGGGACATTTGCAAGAGAAACGGTGGAAGTGATAATAGGAACCTTCTCCCCAGTGAGTGGTTACAAACTGTTCAGTTACAATCTATGAGGAGCTGGATAGATTATTGTTTGGCTATGAGGAGCTGTAGATTATTGTTGGATGTTTAGTGTTTTATTATTCTTTTTTTTTTCAATATATTCAATTAAGTCCATGTTATTTCAATTTATGCTTGACAGATTATTGTAGCTTTGACTATAGTAAGTGTGGGACATAATAGTATAACTCATGGTGCATCCCTTCAATGGTTTACGATCTGTATGCCTTTGTGTAAACTGTCAAGAATTACAAACCATGGCACATCATGGTGCATCCCTTCAATAGTGTACAGTCTGTGCGCCTTTGTGTAACCCGTAAAGAATTTCAAACCATAGCACATCCCATTCCTATATCATTAGACATCCTAAATACACAACCACTTGCATCTGGGTGCACCCTGCACAGCGGGAGATTAGGGTTTTTCCATTTTTTCTTCTCCCTTATTGATACACTTTTATTTTTCCTCCTTGACAATGATTTGCTGCAGAAACTTTAAATTGCAAGCAGTAGAAGGCTAAAAGTCTATTGAAGTTTTTATGGTTATCCTTGTTTTTTGATTTACTTTTTTTTATCCTTCCTCCCATGTTTATTGTGATTTCTTTCTTCTTCTTTTTTTTTTTTTTTTTTAACTTTCTTTTTTTTTTTTTTTGAACTTTAATGCAAATAGTTTCTTTTTCTTTTTCTTGGTGTTTGTAACAATAACCTCAGAGGGTTTCAAAAGCAATGGAGGCTGGTGTTTTAAAAGCATTGGCAGAATTTGTTCAAGAGGAAGGGCAGAAATCGTTATAAGGTAGACATTGTAAGTGATGATAAAAAGCATGCTTAGCGTTGGTTGGTTAGCAAAGGGATCACACCCTTATTCCTTTTAATGTCGGTGTTTGCGCTGTTGATTCGTGTAGCTGTGATCGGTAGAATTCATCTTTCCTTTTTCCCTCTACCCCATCCAATTGATAAAAGGTACATCGACATTTGCTGATTGACCTGACTGTTCCGTTCGTGAAAACCTCTGGATTGACCTGCTGTTGATTCGTGTAGCTGTGATCGGTGTTTGGGTTAGTTTTTTGGAGTTTCAGTTTTTTTGATACTATTCATGTTTTATAAATTTAAATTTTTTTCTTAAAATTTTATATTTTTAGATTTTTTTAACCTTAAAAAGATTTTAAATAGTAAAAACTCAAAAGTTTTAAACTTTTGCTTTTCATAATTTTTTTTTTTTACTTACTATCTCTTATCTCTAAAAATAACTTTTAAATTTTCTCTTTAATAAAAATTTAAACTTATCACTCATGAACAATACAAAAAAAGTAAAACCTCTTACAAACTAACCTAAACATGCCTTAGGACCTGTTTGGTTTAGCCTTTTGGAGCTTTTGCCTTTTTAGTACTGTTTATGAATGATAAGTTTAAATTTTTATTGGAGGAAAAATTTAAAAGTTGTTTTTAGAAATAGGAAAAAGTGAGTAAAAGGGAGTTTTTAAAAGTTTGGATTTGAAACTTTTGAATTTTTATTAAAAAAAATTTAAAAATGTAAGTTTTTAAGAGAAAATTTTAAAGTTATGAAACATGAATAGTGTTAAAAAGTTGAAACACTTAAAAACTGAAATACTTAGAAGCTGAACCAAACATGCTCTAAGTCTTATATTAGTGCTTCTGCTTTTCAGCTAGTAATTCATGTCTAAAGATTTATTCTTCCAAGATGATTGCCATAGTTCTTTGCTTTTGAAGGCTTCACCTCCTTTTTCACATTTTTTCAGTGTTCCTTCTTATAATGAGTATCCATTGAAAGAATGCTGCCATGCCTAGCAATTTAAATTTTCAAGTCATGGGCATGGCTAGCCAATTCTTCAAAGGTATGTGGTATGTTGGCTTGGAGGTTGTACAAAAGTCCCCAATCTTAACACATATATCAATGGAAGAAGCTTCACTAATCTATTCTCGATAGTTTAAGACAAGAGTCCTCTATTTTTCAATAAAGTCTGTCACAAACTCATTCTTTTTTGTTTGGTGTTTGCAAGCTCAGGTACACTACAAACAAAATGCCTTATACCAACGGAAGTCTATACCAACGGATAAAAAATCCGTCTGTATAGGTCATATATACCAACGGAAAACATATGCCGTTAGTATACATAGGTCTATACCAACGGAAAAATATATCCATTAGTATAGACTTAGTTTATACCAACGGAAAAATATATCCATTAGTATAGACTTAGTTTATACAAACGGTTTAACAATTATCCGTCTGTATACAGTGTATCTATTCCAACGGAAATTATTATATGTTTGTATAAATACATCTTTACAAACGGATTACTGCTCTGTCTGTATAATATATTCCTATTCCTTAATCACTTTCTTTTAGCTTTCCCACAGCAAGAGTCCCCAATTTCCCTCTTTATTTTTGCTTCCCACCGCCAGAGTACCCAATTTCCCTCCCTAATTTCCGAGCTTCCCTCCTTAATTTCTGAGCTTCCCTTCCCGGTAGACTAACCCAAGTAATTTCTGAGCTTCCCTCTCTAATTTCGAGCTTCATTTCTGCTAAAATCATACTCCCCTCCACAGATTCCCCATTTTCCATCCCTAATTTTTGAGCTTCCCTTCCCGGTAGACTAGACCCAAGTGATTTCTGAGCTTCCCTCTCTAATTTCGAGCTTCATTTCTGCTAAAATCATACTCCCCTCCACAGATTCCCCATTTTCCATCCCTAATTTCTGAGCTTCCCTCCCCGCAGATCTCCAAAATTTGTAATTGATTTTGGTAAAACTCAAAAACCCATTGAACCCAGCTGCAAAATTCGTTTTCTCCAATCTAATCCATCAACGACAAAGGGTTTCGCGCAGCCAACCGCAGCCCCACTTGCTCTCTCCTTTCCGTCAACCATGGTACCGCCGCCTCTCTCTCTCTCTCTGTTTCTATACGATTCCATTAGGCTGTGCATGCTCACCTTTTCTATTACTGGTTTCTTTTTTGTTTGCTGATTGTTTGGTTTCTGATAAAAAGCGAGGATTCTGCTTGATTTTCAAGTCTCAAAGTTACATATGTGGGAAGAGGAGTGCTTGGGGCACTCGC